AGGGCCGGTCGTTCTGATGAACGACCGAATATGGCCCTTGGGTTCAGGCTAAAAATGCTATTACCATTTTTAGTCTGAACCGTCGCAGGGGCTGTAGGCCCTGAAAGTCAGGCTTTCGGCCTGAACCGAAATGGGGCCTATAAGCCCTGAATTTCAGGCTTTCGGCCTGAAATCCAGGGTTTTGGCCTGAATCCAGTCGGGCCTGCAAAATGGCCCGTGTGAGTGCACGCGCTGCATGTAACACTTCTCCTCTAACTCTACTAATAACAATGGTTTCATTGGAGATATCTGCTTTTCCCTGCATGGTTATAACCGTGGCGATTTGTGGCTGTTTGAATGGGCCTTTGTGGCAACATCAGTGGGGATTACCAGTGGGTCGATGGCAGAAAGGACCAAATTCTCGGGATACCTGGCTCATTCGGCTTTCCTTACAGGTTTTGTGTACCCGGTTGTTGCACATTGGGTTTGGTCAACTAATGGATGGCTGTGCGCATCGCGAGCAGTTGGCGGACGCTTGTTTGGATCAGGAATGATTGGTTTTGGGGGAAGTGGGATTGTGCATGTCACCGGAGGCGTAGCAGGATTCTGGGGAGCTCTCATTGAGGGCCCTCGTTTGGGATGATTTGGACCGCACATTGCCGGAGTCACCAGGCGGCAAGAGAGTCTCAGTGAACGCATGTTTGGTGCTGCAGAGAAGCTTGACTCTGGTGCCAAGGGTTCAACAGACATTCCATCATCTGAGTTTAGAGGTTATAATGCGGTGCTTGTAGTCCTAGGGACAGTCCTGATCTGGTTTGGCTGGTATGGATTCAATCCTGCTTCAGGGACACACGGAATCGCTCATGGTCCAGGGCCGCGCATTACCACAGGGAAGGCCATTATGGTCGGCCGTGTGGCAACCACCACCACATTGTTTGGTACCGCGGCAGGCATCACGACTCTTCTTGTCAAGAAGATTTTGAAGGGCCACTGGTGTGTGCGAGATGTTTGTCACGGCCTTCTGGGTGGGCTTGTTGCAATATCATCGGGATGTGCTGTGGTGGAGCATTGGGTGGCAATCCTAACGGGATTTGTCGCTGCCTGGGTGCTCATTGGTGGGAACATGGCGATGGAGAGGTTAAAGATTGATGACCCGGTGGAGGCGGCACAACTTCACGGTGGGTGTGGCGCCTGGGGAGTGCTTCTCACTGGGCTCCTTGCAAAACGAGCGTTTGTTGAGGAGGTGTATGGATTCCAGGGTGACTATGGGCTGTTGTATGGTGGAAGCGGGAAACTGCTCGCTGCCCAGCTTGTGGGCCTCTTATCCAACATCGTCTGGGTGTCAGTCATGATGGGCACCCTTTTCTTGCTTCTGCGCCGGTTTGATCTGCTGAGGATCTCCCACGAACAAGAGATGGAAGGGTTCAACAGAACTGTACATGGTGTGTAGACTCTGAGAGTGGGCGGGGAAGGGGGGGGGTTACAAGGTGGGCCAATTGCAGCAAAGGTCCTGCTTCCCTTTTCCTTGCCGGGAGGGCTATCTCATGTACGTATTTTATATTCATGTCTGTGTCTTATACTTTGTATTCATTTGCAAGTAAAAAACAGCGGCAAGGTCCTGCTAGTGAGGAGGCTTGGATTGAACACCTGAACCTGGACTTGTTTCTGGAAAGGTGCAGAAAATAACGATTGATCGTTTCTGCATCTCTGCATGAAACACATCTACATTCAGGAACTTAATCCAATCCTCTTTGCTAGTGGTACCTCGCCCCAGGAAATGTCTCACTTTGAACACGGGGGTGACGGGGGAAAAAAAACAAGGCAGTTGTTGCTTATCAGACTTGTAGGGAACAATAGGTCAAGAGGCACTGATTCAATCCACCTCCTTCCCACTTAACCAGTCAACATTATTATTGGCATCTGTAACTCCTGATTCATGATGTATTTTTTAGGGACGCTGGACCTGGTTTTCAGCAGGTGCAGCTTCCCACCAATAGATGGAGTGGTC